TCTTGCGATAGTGCCTTTAGAGGCTTTGTATCCTTGAAGTAAGACGAATGCTTTAGTGCGCTCAATGTACGCGATTAGGCATCTTCTTACATCAATTTTGTTGTAGTCTCTTTCTTTGGTGTTGCTCCGTGTCCCGCAAAAGGATGGTATTACAATTTTTTGTGTTCTATGGAAATTTGACGCGACCTTTGGTTGGAATGCTGGATCCGTATGGAGGATAATCTTATCCAACAGGATTGTGCAGTAAGGCTCTATCACTGACAGAGCTTGCAGTTCACTCAATCTGCGAGCAGAGACTAGGGTTATCAAGAGGGTGGTTTTGAGAGTCAACTGCCTGAGGGAGCATTTTCCCAAGGGTTCGAATGGCTCATGTTGGAAACTTTTTAAAACTGTCCCTAAATCCCAGAGAGGGTATTTAGGCGTGCACAGGACTCTTGAGGACTGAAGTCCGTTCTGGCCCAAAGAGGAGCTTTCCCTCAAAGAGCAGGCCGCAGAGTCTGGATTTGGAAGCGATGTCCCCCTGCCAGGATTTCAACCAAATAGCTCTTCGGGCTGAGTTTGAGCGCAGTTGATCTGGCTGTGTATTTGATGGTTTCAGCCGATGCGTCTGCAATAAAGGCCACTGCTTTTTCCAAAATCGGTAGAGATTTAAGAATTTTCCTCAGCCGGTGTGCCTTGTTCAAGGTGAGAGCGGAGCTGGCCCAACCATACTTCTAGGGTTCTGGAAACACAGGTTGTTGCTGTTGTTGGTTTAAAGTTTACTGCAGATGATTCCCATGCTCTTCTGAGGAATGTGTTGGCCTTGTGGTCCATTGGGTCCTTTAGGGAACCCCCATCTTCTAAAGATAAATCCATGGATTTCTAAATCTTCAAGAGGGGAGCATCCGGTTTCGGGCAAGACTGCCACATAGACACATCTTCCTCCTTAAATGGAAATCGCCTTTTAAGATTTTTTAGGAAAAAAGGCTTTCCTTTCTGGCTCTTCCCATTCCCTTTTTATGGTAGACCATAGGGTGGAATGGACCGGGAATGTGCGGCCGCTTCTCTTTTGCAGGCCTGCATATAACTGGTCGTGCAGAGAGAGATCAGGTTGTTCCTCTTCTAGGTCTAGAGCAGCGGTTCTCAACCTGGGGGTCGAACGATCATTTCCCAGGGGTCGCCTAAGACCATCGGAAAACACATATTTCCAATGGTCTTAGGAACCGAGACACCGCTCCTGTCTCCGGCGATGTGTGGGCGGGATATGCTGCCCCTGTCACCGCCTCCTCGCCGCTGATTGGCCACCGGAACTGTAGCTCAGGAGAGGCACACAGGCGGCCAATCACCGGCGAGGAGGTGGAGCTTGGAGAGGGGGAGCCGAGCGGCAGCGCGCGGAGATCAAAGAAGATCGAGGGAGCTGCAGGAGCGAGTGAAGAGAGAGGCCAGAGAAGGAAGACAGCTGACAGGTAAGTGCAAATTTTGCTGCTGCAGCCAGGTATGCTGGCTGTAGATGGGAGAGGGAGAGAGCGAGCCCAGGCTGGAGCAGGAGTCAGCAAGGTAAGTATCATTGGTGTCAGTGGGAGGGATAGTGCCCCATCATTTGTGTCACTAATACCAACGATGGGGCACTATTCCTCCCCCCACTGACACCAACGATGAGACACTATTCCTCCCCTCACTGACACCAACGATGGGGCGCTATTCCTCCCCCCACTGACGCCAACGATGGGGCGGGCCTATTCCCCCCTCACTGACGCCAACGATGGGGCGCTATTCCTCCCCTCACTGACGCCAACGATGGGGCGCTATTCCTCCCCTCACTGACGCCAACGATGGGGCGCTATTCCTCCCCTCACTGACGCCAACGATGGGGCGCTATTCCTCCCCTCACTGACGCCAACGATGGGGCGCTATTCCTCCCCTCACTGACGCCAACGATGGGGCGCTATTCCTCCCCCCACTGACGCCAAGGATGGGGCGCTATTCCTCCCCCCACTGACGCCAAGGATGGGGCGCTATTCCTCCCCCCCCACTGACGCCAAGGATGGGGCGCTATTCCTCCCCCCACTGACGCCCACGATGGGGCGCTATTCCTCCCCCCACTGACGCCCACGATGGGGCGCTATTCCTCCCCCCACTGACGACCCCACGATGGGGCGCTATTCCTCCCCCCACTGACGCCCACGATGGGGCGCTATTCCTCCCACTGACACCAACGATGGGACGCTATTCATCCCACTGACATCAGTGATGGGGCGCTAGTCCTCCCACTGCAAAATTACAGTTATGAAGTAGCAACGAAAATAATTTTATGGTTGGGGGTCACCACAACATGAGGAACTGTATAAAGGGGTCACGACATTAGAAAGGTTGAGAACCACTGGTCTAGAGTGTCGTAGATTACTTTCAAGAGGCCTTCTGTATCTCCTACTGGAAAAAGGAACCTTTGTGACCTGTGATCCTGTTCTTAAATCTCGCCTTCCTCAGAGTCGGAAGTACCGGAAAGTTCCTTTTCTTAGTCCGTGACAGTGCCCGGGTCCTGTTTTCTCTTCTTGACTGATGGGGAAATGCCTGAGGTGCCGGGTTGAGGCCCCTCTGGGGTTGGTTCCTGCATCTGTTCCCTAAAGTTTTGAAAGGTTTTGGACATCTCTTGAGTCATGTTTTGTAGGGAATCTTTGAAGAGGGACCCCAACTCTTTTTCGATCAGCTTATCAATGAACTCCTGGCACAGCTGCTTTTTCCAAGCACTAGCGAGTTTCTTATTGCAGGTAGTGCACTTTCTCTTAGTCCGACAAAGAGCCTCCTTTTCCCTCCTATCCTCCTCCAGTGGGCCCATCTAAGGACAGGGAGACACAAGATATAGGCCTTCTGTAAGCTGAGGGATTCTAGGGGGATACCCCCCCGAGCGTGCACCCACTGGCCAGATCCTTGTGGTGCTGGAGAGAGGGGGAAGAGGGAGGAGACAAGAGAGTGAGAGAGGGAGAGAGTAAAGAAGAGCCTTGTACCCCCTCGGGCCCCCCTCCCTGAGACAGCAGATAGGAGGAAGCATGAGGGGTATAGAGAATGGGGTCATGCCAGCTGACAGGCTCCTACCTTGCTGCTGGCCTCCCCCAGTTTGAACAGATCTGCCTCTATTCTGACCGCATTCCCTCCCTGGGCGTGGCTCTGTTTGTAGGGTGAGGGGGCTCCACCCTCCCCCTTGGGTCCGGTTGTGCCAACCTCCCCTCACTTGCGGATCGCTGGCAAACTTGCGGATTGCTGGCCATAACCAAGATGGTGGCAGTCCGCTTCCTGTTCCCTGGGTGCCGGAAGTGACTCCTGCGGGTCCCGGTGCCCAGAAGTCACGTCATCACCCCACACCTCCTTGTTGGAGATGGCATACAGCAGAGGAAGGTAGGGTTTGCCCTGTGGGGGAAACGGTCCCTTTCCCAATATGTCGGTGGAATCGGGCTCTAGCCCCCCTCCTGGTGAGCCCCACAGGACCATAAAAGAGGGGTGCTGTCTCCCCCAATCCATAGGGAACCCTGAATGAGGCCACCCAATAAGGTCCCTGCCTTGCTGAGAGGAAGAGAGAGCGAGGTAGCCCCATCCAGGAGGCCTCAGCACCCTGCCAGATGGCCATAAGAAAATAAAACACGGGAGTAGTTCCTGGCCGGAGGAAACACTAATTCTGAGGATCCCTGGGGAGAGAGGCTAATTTTAGGGATAACGTGGATCAAATGTTTCCTGGTGGGAGGAGCCTCTCATGTGAAGCTGTTCTGGAAGATAACTTGGGGAAAATATTGTACTAATTTAGCCTGTACACGAGGTGTGTGAAGGAATAGCAATGTTTTCCAAGAAAAAAACACTAGTTTGCCATTAAACACATTGACAAATGCCAAAACAGAAAAAACAGACATGATGATTGGCCACTGTAACAGTAGGCATGTTTAGTGCAAATAGAATTTGAAGTGAAGAACCTTTTACTGACTGAAGTATAGCTTTGTGACTTCAGGGCATGGGCAGTTTGCATTCATCGAGTCAATAATGAATGAGATCAATCTTAAAGTGAAAGTAAATCTTGTTTTAACCTACAGGTAATCCTTACCTGTAGATACTGTAAAGCACAGTTTAGGAGATATTTACTGTGGCAACGCTGGTGATGTCACTGGTGCATGCACACTGTGCTCTCAATGGATGGCATGCCATCCATTGAGAGAGCTGTGCCACGGCTGAAACTCCCATGCGCATGCGCGGGAGTGACTTCATCGGTGGCTTACCCAGTCAAATGGTCACTGCCTGCAAACCCGGAAGGAAGACCAGGGGAAGAATAAAGCCTCATGGAGCCATGACAGCGCTCGGCTGGAGGGCTTAGTTTTCAAGTAAGTCTTTCATAATGTGCTAGTATGTGATGCATACTAGCACATTATGCTCTTATCTTGTAGGGATTTTTTGTGGTTTACTATCACTTTAATGACAATATGAGCACATTTGTTTGAAAGATGAAGTGGAATCAGAAAAAGATAATGCAACACGATAATGATCTAAAACACACTAGCAAATTTAACAAGGATGGCTCAGATAGAAGCAATGAAGGGAATGATAACAAGTAAATGTAAATTGTATTTAATATCATACCATGGGAAAATTTCAGCTTCTGTGTTTGTAATAAAACAGAAGAGATAGTAACATCAGATAGTTAATCAAACAACATGTTCCTACAATAGGTTTGTGGTATACTGCTAAATTAGCAATGCACTTGAAACAAACAAATAAGCAAACATGAATCAATGATGTTAACCCATTACATAACAATGTATGGTTATGCTAATGTTTATAACTTTTACATGTATAGAAATAATGCCCTGTCTTTACACCAAACCTCTATTGAGTTCCTAAATAATTTTCATTTTTTTTTTTCTCTTTCCTGAGACATATATAGTTTTACCAAACATGGAAACAAGGGTGCTGTGAACATGTTTTTAAAGAGACTGGCATGAGGGTATTTTAGTGCACTTAAGTGTCCCAGTTTAATAAAACATCTAATTTTGAAAGGCATTCTGAAGCATCTTAGAAACAGGAAGTTCCTCTAAGTTCCCATCAGAGCCAGATGCTCCTGCTGGCATGTTGGCCACCACTGTCTGTTTGCACAAATATTGTAGAGAGACAACTTTACAATTTAATGGTTGCCTAAGCATTAGAGGGACTGGCTGTTCCTTCCCTTCAATGTAGCACAGATTAGAGTCAGACTCTCCTGCTGCTGTCAGTCTCATGTAATGTTCAACCAGCTTTACCACACATGTAAAGGTTGGGGGGTTCTCTGTTCCTGCAACCGTCTCTAGGTAAAAAGAAGTGCCCTCAAGTTTAATGCGTAGGTTGGTAATTCCAGCAGTTGTACGAAGACTGAGAGTAAATAGGTGGTGATGATCTGAAGAGTCACGGATGAGAAAGGAGCCAACAGGTTGGTTGGATAACAGCTTTTTGGCATCAGTACCTGAAAGAGTGCTCCAGTAATAGCCACTGGCCTCCAACCTTTCGAGTGCTGTTTCCACTCTTTCATAGTCCCCAGAAAAAGACTTGTAATGGTAGGAGAGCTGGGCATCCTGTGAGCTCATGGCTGCAAGGATGAATGATGGGCAGAAGCAGCAATGGAAGGAACTCCAACGAAGTGTGACCATCGTCAAGCTAATAAACCTGAAGTGATGCACTTTGTGACAGGGAAGACCTAGGCTGGTCCAGGTTTGAATTCTGCACTATAGTTAGTGCTTATCTGTATCCATCTTCTCAACTCACCTGTAAGGAAAATGATAAGAAAAGTATTACTTTATTAAACAATACCTCATTATTAGTTTGTCTGCTATGCTTTAGATAGTTTATGTTCATCCAAAACTGCAGATTAATGTTGACTGCTATTTTGCTTCTAAGGTCCCAAGTCAGTGGCTTTTGCCTCTTATTATTTGATGTGCAACACCATGGTCATTAGCACTGTACTGGGTCTATGAGTGCTATGTATCAGTTCCTGCACTTAAAGTCCTGGGTGTAAACATTAGCAGTCAACAGAACTGATTCAAGAAAAATGGAGCAAGGAAAATGTTCTGAAAATAGAATCCCTGCCATAGCAACTTTTAGGTTTTATTTTTGATACTCTAGGGAAACAAAAAAAAGGCATTCAAATGGTTGCTAATCAAAGAAATCAGTATCAATTGCTTAGTTTTTTTTGCTTTAGTTTTGATAATTTATCTGTAACTCAAAAATACCTTCATTTGGCTAGAATAGAGAAAATAAGTTTTTTTTAGCTACCAGTAAAATCGGTTTCTTGTCGTACAGTACAGGAAACAATCTTTTAGTCCTGAGCCATGCATATAAATGCAGCTACCTTCAAGTGATGGGACACTGGAAAAAAGAGAAAGCTGTAGGGACCTTCCCCTATTTAATCTCTTCCAATCCCAGCTGTCTCATTTTTGAAGCAAGCAATAAGTGGAACATAACAGAGGTGAGGACTAGTTTCCTGTTTTGTCAAGAAACAGGTTTTACTGGTAAGTCAAAAAAACTATTACTATAACTAAACTATACATACAGGACACCAGATATTTAGTGTTTAACCCTGGGATACCAGAAACAATTGCCAACAGGCCAAGGTAACAAACAGGTCAAGAAAGCTTAAGGTCAGAGAGCAGATTGTAACGCATTAAGCCAAAAACTGGCTTCAGAGGACACCTGAATATCCACCTGGTATGTGTGAACAGATGACCACATGGCAGCCTTGAAAATCTGAGATCTGCTAACAGGTCTGGTAGAGTGTGCCTTAATAGGGAAAAGAGGAACTCTGACCTTTAACCCATAGGCTCAAATGATAACTCGTCTAATCAACCTAACAATAGTGGAGTGAGAAGCAGGGAGTCTCCTGCAGGAACCCTCTGGAAGCACCAATAGCGAATCTGATTGCCAAAAGAGGCTGTCATTAAGAGCTAAACTCCCACAGAGCATACCATACCAAGAAAGTGGGGATACATTTCATTAGGATGTTTAAGAGCAAGAAAGAAGTAAAGACAATTTCCTGGTGAAGGAAGGCATGCTTTTGGCCTCAGTATAACCTTGTCTTTATGTAACACTAGGAAAGGCTATTTACAGGATAAGGCTCCTAACTCAAGAGAACTTCAATGCATGCATTAGCAATGAGGAAGGCTACCTTGTAACGGCAGATAAAGAAATATCCTTAATAAGTTGGAAGGACGTTAAGAACCAAGTTAATGTCTCATGGAGTAACCAGGGGATGTACAGGAGAAGTGATATGCAATATATATAAGCATTAATTATTATATTTTTTTGAATAATCATGATGCATATTGATTTATTTGTGATGCCCTGTACAAAAACCTAAATAAGGTATGAAAGGTCCTAGAAGGTGCACAAGGCAAGGTTCTGATTCAAACCAGACCGTAGAAAGATCAGGATTTGTCCTATGTTGTGTTACCCAGAATGAAATTTACTAGTTTTGCACCATGCAAAATAGGCTTTTCAGGTGCAATGGCAGCCTTACCAAGAAGTTGATTTTCTAGCATTTAAGGGGGTAGGGATGACCAAATATATGAAATCTACCACACTAGGGAGAGTCTGGCTTTGAAGGTCAGATTCATGGGGTAGTCCAAGAATCGAGTCTGCTTATCCCACGTTGCTAGAATGTTGGAATTGTTGGAAAGGAAACCAGGAATACAGCACTGGGTCAGGTACAAGAGTGGATGAAAAGCAGTTTGTGTCTGATCAGGAAGATCCTGGACAAGGGTGTATCCATTGTCAGGCCCAGGTACTCTGACAGATCATTCAGGTAGCCCAAAACGCGTATCCACTGGGAACTCAGCAGAGCTAAGAACGGGGCACATGCCTTGGTACAAAACCTAAATGGCTGTGGACAGACCAAAGGGAAGGACGACAAATAGGTAAGCATCCTGGATGTCTACTGAAGCCAGAAAATTGCTTGGAAAGAGAGGAACAATGATTGACCTTGCCGATTTTATGCAGCATTTAACCCAAAGGAACAAGTTGAACATTTTCAAATCCATAATGGGCCAAACCCCTCCATATGGCTTGGGAACTGTGGATACTTTTGAATACAAATCTTGAAACCATTCCTTGCATGGGACTGGGTTAAAGATCCCTTGTAAAAAGGAGCTGCTGAAAAGCAGTAAGAACAAATACACATTTTTCCCAGGAGAGGGGCAAATTTGATTAAAGAGGGCAATAGGAAGAATCGGAAACTCATGTTTGTGGCCCCTGAAAATGACACTCTAGACAGACTTTGGAAAGAGGGATTGGATGCAGACTTGGCTGGCTTGAAAGATCACATTTTTTCCAGATTTTGGTTTGGAGCTTGAGGCCTTAGAAGGATTTAAAAAGCTATTCGTAACCTCTGGAGTAGAAGACTTACCAACATTTTTTCTTTTGGAGGAAAGTTTTTATGTCCCCTGTGGTCTCTTTTATGTACCTGTCAAAAGATTTAATGAAACAGGAATTATCCTTCAAATGCAGATGCTCTAGGCATTTCCTGCATAAGAGTTCAGCTGACCAAGATTTGAGCCAAAGAGCGAAAGTTCATCCTGGAAATCTGGAGGACCATATCGACCACACTACTGACATAGTAGCGAATGGGCACAAGTAAACGCTCTATTTGTTGGTGTATGGAAGGATCCATTAAGATGGAGCTAGGGTCTGTGGGCCATGTGCTTAGTCCAGGCAGCAAGAGTCTGGCAAACTGCTATGGAAGCAACTGCAGGTTGAAAGGACCTTTTATAGAGGGCATTTAACTTTTTATCCACAAGGTTGAACACAGTATTATCCTCTACAGGTCAGCATTCTTAAGACATGAGATAGCATGGTCTGAAGCAGGGTCACCCATTTTTGCATGAAACTCTCCATGTTAGGATATTGCAGAGCAAAATTTTTTTGAGAAGCAAATAGCTTTTTAGGGTGAGTCCAGTCACTACATAGAACAGGCTCTAAGAGTGGAATGGAAAGGTCTTAACCGCATTGGGTAATTGTACAGATCCTATATGGGAGACCTTGGGATAAGCAGACTCCGTTATCCTTATGTTATCCTTAAGCTTGGATGAAATTTCATCAGAAATGTGTTCATCCTAATCTGATTGCTCAGAATTGGCATTATCTTTGTCTAACTCCTCCACAGGCAGAGTGTCTGTAACCAAGGCAAAGTCAGAAATTGACCCAGGGGAAAACTGAAGGGGCTCACTTGTGATCCCTGTAATCTAGGGTTTTTAATAGGACTGAAATTCTTCCCATGAAATCAGAGATTTTCGGGGGTTGAAGTGGTACTATTGATAGTAGGTTTAGAACCATTAGCTTTTCCCTCTATGTTATCATTTTGCCATTTGTAAACATTATTATTTTTAAAATCCATCAACTCCCTATTATATTTCTTAACCTTCTTTTTTTGTGTCTTTTTCTACTTTTTCTAACTTCTTTTTGATATTAGTATTAAACTCTATATATTGACTAGTTTCTTCAATAGAGTTTAAAGAATTTTGCAGGCCTTTGATTTTATCCTCTAATTTATCCATTTTCCTTTTCTTTCTTTTTAAAATGAGTAATTGTAATTCACAATCCACTCTGTTAAAAAATTCTGACCATTCATTATTGGATTCATGGTCATTAAGACCATCCTGTGGGGCTAAATCCCATCTCAATCTCCTACTTAAAATTAACGCAAAAAAAAAAAAAAAATATTTTAACCACAAAAACTAAATAAAAGTAAACATAAAAATAAATGAAAAAAAACGAAAAAAATAAAATGAAAAAAATATAAAATATCAAATGAATCTTATGAGTCACTGATAAAACAATTAATATCTACTTCAACATTCAATCCCCCAGGTGCCAAAGACTGGAGGGTGTATATCCACTTTGTTTCCCTATTAGCTCCTCTCCAATTTTTTGAGATGCAGTCAACTCCCCAAAATACTATTAATTTCAGATTTTTATTATGAAATTTAGCAAAATGGTCTGATACATTATGCTCTGTGAAACCTTTTTTAATGTTTTTAATATGTTCTGCAATCCTCACCTTAAGGGCCCTTTTGTTCGGCCTATGTATATTAAATTACATGGACATCTAATGGCATATACTACAAAAGTAGTATTGCATGTTATAAATTCAGATATTTTGTATTCTTGCTCAAGAACATTAAAGTTAACGCTCTTAACCACATTATTTATAGCTGTTTTACAAGATCTACATTTTCTACAGGCTTTAAACCCTTTTCCATAGGGAACATGTCAGCACCTGTGGTACTGAGCTCTATGGATCCTCAACTTGGGGTTCCCCAGGGCACGGAGTCTGAGGCCCAGCTGCTTGTTCACCAGAGCCCCTGATGGTGGGGATGGACTTGCAGCAAGCTGGGACCAGGTCGCGGCCCCCAGGTACACCCAGCTGAGGTGGAGGAGACCGCTCACGGGAGCAGAGTATAACAGGAGAAGACAAAGGAAATTCAGTAGGCAAGCCGAGGTCAAGACAGGTGGAAAACAAACAAGCAAGTTCAGAGAACGAAGCCAGGGTCAGTACACAGGTAGACAATATAGGATTCGGATAGCAGAAACACGTGGGAGCTCCAACAACTAAGAAGTTGCTCAGGCAAAATGGCCTAGTCTGAGCACATCTTATATAGAC